CATGTTGTTCGTCAGTGGAATATTATGTTCCGTTTGACGGTGGGATGATAGGACCCATAACTCCGACTAGAGGGCTTAGACAAGGTGACCCGCTATCCCCATGCCTTTTCATTTTGATAGCGGAGGGTTTGAGCGCACTGATTCGAAGGCAGGAGGATATGGGTAATGTTTTAGGCGTAGCTGTGGCCAGACGCGCACCGCGAGTTTCACACCTCTTTTTTGCAGATGATAGTTTTTTATTCTTCAGGGCTCGTGAGGGGGAGTGTCAGGCAATAAAAAACACCCTTCAGCATTATGAGGAGGAATCTGGCCAGCAAGTGAACTATAAAAAATCTTTGCTAATGTTTAGCCCGAACATTAGCGAGGACTTGAAGGGTTTTATTTGCAATTTTTTGCAGGTTAATACGGAAAATTGCAGACCACATTACCTGGGGCTCCCGGGTATAGTGGGCAGGAAAAAGACAAAGATCCTGAGTTACTTGAGGGAGCGAATTATAAACAGGATTGGAAACTGGAAGAATAAATTCTTATCCAAAGCAGGTCGAAAAATTATTCTTATCCAAACCGGAGTCCTTAGTTGGCCGAATCTTCAAGGCAAAATATTACCCTAATTGTTCTTTTTTGCAGGCAAAAACGGGGGGCAACCCCTCATTCATTTGGAGTAGCATAATCCACACTCAAGCCTTGATGGAGGGAGGATTGCGACGGAAAGTGGGTAATGGCCAATCAATCTCAGTCTGGAAAGAAAGGTGGCTACCGGGAACGGAGGATGGTATGATTCACACCCCACCGCCAATAGGAATCTCGGATATGAATGTGGCCGCGTTGCTTAATGAGAAAGGTGACAGTTGGAATGTAGACATGATCATTGTTTTGTTCTCGGCTAAAGAAAAGGAAAATATCTTGAGCATCCCCTTGAGTACGAGACGGGTCGTGGACGGAATATGGTGGGACGCAGACCCGAGGGGCATCTACACTGTAACACCGCCCTCGAGTATTTGTACTTTATCAAATTATGTATCGAACCCCAAGAGATGAATGAATGTATTTTACGTGATTGTAAATTTTTTATCATTTCTTTTTACGTGAATAGTAAAATTCACGTGGGGCCCACACTGGAGGTGGGGACCACCCGATATTATCGGGCCCACATATTATATTCGTTTGAGTCAAGCTAACATGTGTATGATGGTGAATATCCTTGTTGGGCCATATAAATTATGTGAGTAGCCAATTGAGCATATAAGGCCCATTTATCGGTACCCGGCATACTGACAGATAAAAGCCATAATAAATCATGGAGACCGCTAAACTAAAATTTGGGGAATATACATTCATTCTTATGGCCAATAATAATTGGAAGAATGATAGATATTTCATTTTACCCGATAAAATGAAATACAATTAAACCAGTCCGGAAAATACAACTTTCGGGACCAAATGTACACTCGGGGACATAAAGGGATGACCTCCCACATAAGGGGGGGGCCACCCCACGTTTTTCCAGCTCTCAACTGATGAGAGGAGTGTGAAAATGTTGACTTAAGATGATAGAGGCGAGCTAAGGGGGGAGGTTGAGACAAGAGTTGACTCCAAGGGGACCCCTCACCTCTCATCATCATGGAAGGAGCCAAAGTCACCCCAATCACTCCCTACACCCATCCTTTCGACCTTACCATCCATTTTTGAGAGAGGAGCTCTGCAAAATACTATTTCCACCATCCCCATTCGAACCAAAGCTAAGGAAGAAGAAGGAGGGGAAAGGAAAGAGAAAGAAGAAGGAAAACTTGAGGATTAACAAGGTAATAACTCCATTAATCCCATTCCTTTTCTTTAATCTCCCAATATGGTTATGTAATCATACTTCATACCCATGGAACTGCTCTTCACATTAGATGTAAAGATGAGGGGTTGGAAGGTTGGTTCATATCCAAGACGGATTTAGAGAACAAAGTTGACCGGTTCGTCGGAAAATAACCTTTTAGAGGTTATTTATGTTGATATGGGTTTTATGATGATAAAACCTTGTTGTTAACTTGTATAAGGTACTTCAAGGACTTTCACGGAGTTGAAAGGGTCGCCGGAGTTGTCGCCGGAGTTCGTTGAAGTTCACCGGAGTTTTACCGGAGCTCAATAAGAAAGGCTAGAACTCCCTAAGCTTCTTTTAAGGTGAGAAGACGGCTATATGCTTTATAACTTTTGCGTGAGGCATGAGATTACCTAAATTAATCAAGAACATGTTTTATGAATTGATTAATGGTAGTAAAGTATGTGTTATGTCATGATAGAAACCATAACATAGTTGGAAAGCATGAAATGTAGGTTTGATTAGTGAAATTACATAAATTGATATGTATAATATTCCAAGGGCCAAAATAGGTATTTTTGGATCAAGGACTTCAAGTAGTACATGCATGTAAAATTTCACGTTAATCGGACTCCGTTTGGGCGGTCAAACGTGCGTTGACCGCCAAGTCAACTACAATACCCGACCGGGTATGGGCAAATACCCGACCGGGTATTTGCTGAAAATCTGCCCCAAGGGCTGCTGTCTCCTATACCCGATCGAGTATGGATAGGTACTCGATCGAGTATGCATGGAAAATTAGCCTTACGGGCTGCTGCCTCCTGTACTCGACCGAGTATAGGTGGGTACTCGATCGAGTATTGGGTTATACTCAAAACGGGTAGTTTTTGAGTAGGATAACGTGGACCGATCAGGTGGGACCCGCCCACATTGGTTACTAAGGATTGTTACATGACTATAGGACTAGGTATTGTCCATAGCTAAGTGAACGAAAGGTTAGCCATATCCAAGATAGGCTTGGTAAGGAATAAGGTTGAGGTTGAGTATCCTCGGGACGGTAAACAATCCCAAGAACTCGGTGAGGTTGAGTATCCTCGGGACGGTAAACAATCCCAAGAACTCGGTGAGGTTGAGTATCCTCGGGACGGTAAACAATCCCAAGAACTCGGTGAGGTTGAGTATCCTCGGGACGGTAAACAATCCCAAGAACTCGGTGAGGTTGAGTATCCTCGGGACGGTAAACAATCCCAAGAACTCGGTGAGGTTGAGTATCCTCAGGACGGTAAACAATCCTAAAACTCGGTTGGGGTCGAGCATCCCCGGGACGGTAAACACTCCCGAAACTCGGTAGGATATCATGAAAGTAGAATGTAGCTTGTGAGCTAGGCTTTCAGGATGAAAGGGGAAAGGTTGGGTAAGTACCTTATCTCTAAAAGACTTTTTGTGAGGAAACGACCTACGAGTCAAGTATTTTACAAGTATATACAGTATGTATTATCTTGGGAATGGGGGTAACAATGGTTACACCTATAAATACATGTATCATCCTATTTTTGGGTCTCGTGTCTGAAACATTAATTATTCCTCATATAGCCTGCTTGTCACTAGTACTTTCTATGGAGTACTGACCCCTTCGGGGGCCCTCACATTTTTCAGGTTAAGACTAGAGTCCTGCTACCTGCACCTTTGCCTAGGGTGAACTCAAATAAGGAAGACGTGGTTCGTGCTTCCATTCTTATTTGAAATTATGAAATTGCTCATGGATATTTGACCGATGTTTTCTATTAAACTATTGAAGGGCCTGTGTGCTCATGTTTGCCACGTGTGGCTAAATATCAAACATATTTTATTTCCGCATTTGTTTGATTTATATGTTGATGTTGATTGTATGGGTTTACTAATCGGTTTGGCAATAGAATCTATCGGACGCCTTGTATGATTTGATAAGAATGAACTACGTTGTTCTTATTGGGTTGTACGGCGGTTGTCTACGTGGCACGGATGCGGTCCGGGGCGTGACATACACAGTGAAGAGCGGATACATAAAGCTTAAAGGAGAGTATCAAGTGTCAGGAAGGGCATGATGGACCAAGGTGTGGACTCTAAATATTCCTCCTAAAATTAAATGCTTTTTCTGGCAGGTTATGTCTGGCATTCTTCCGACATCAGTTAACCTTCTTAAAAGGAGGGTGGAAGTGGATGGTTTGTGCAACTTCTGTGCGGAAGAAATGGAAACAGAACTACACCTGTTTTGCGGATGTCGGGTGGCCTGAGGAGTGTGGCATCATCTCGGCCCTAACTTTGTTAGAACGGGAGACACTTTTGAAAATTGGGTGAGGAATTTTTGGATAATATGCAACAAGACAATATCAACCTCTTTGTGGTTACTCTCTGGAGCCTGTGGAAAGCTCGCAATGCAAAGGTTTGGAACCATAAAATCCTAGGATGGCGGCAGGTAGCTGAGGAGGGGAAGAGCATGCTGGGGAACTGGATAGAGGCCCAACGCACGAAGACCGAGAAACAATCTGGGGAGTCAACAACACGGTGGAAGAAGCCGCCAGAGGGCTATATTAAAGTAAATGTGGCCGGAAGCGGAAGGAGAGCATGGGCATGGATAGCGAGAGATGCCCAAGGAGACTTCTTGGCAGGGGGCAGCCGAACTGTTCAAGCAAGCTGGACGGCAGCAATAACGGAAGCCATAGGGGTTCGGGAGGTAATTAAATGGGTCAAAGAGCAAAGGTGGCAACGAGTGAAGTTAGAAACAGACTCTATGATGATCACCTCGGGTATCATGGACCGAGAGGGAGATTCCTACTTTGATACAATTCTTGAAGATATTAGACACAATCTTCGTAATGAAGCTAGCTTAGATGTCATCCACTGCAGAAGATCCGCAAATAAGGTAGCTCATTCTCTAGCAAGGGCTGCCTTATTACACCCGGATTCGGACTATACTTATAGTTTTCCACCTCATTGCATTGTACTCTATTTGGAGAATGACAGTTTGAATTAATATAACTCAGTTTTCCTTTAAAAAAACAAGCCACATGTTCAGATTACCTGCTCAATAGGTTTATTCAGGTCACGGGCTTGTTCTCAGAAGAAACCCTTATAAATTAGATTATACCGGAAAAAATCATATTTGAGATTAATATTGGAATATCGTTGAGAACTAATTTTTCCAATATGAAACCCCACATTTTCAAGTTCAATCTCAAAGTGGGTTCATTTGTTCAACCTAGTGGAGTATATATATGAACTCTTTTCGTCCCAAAATAAATTTCAATCTTTCGTTTTTCTGTCGTCCTAATCTAAACCTCAATCTCCCTCGTATGATTAGGTCACGCATTCCTCAGTTTTTTAACCTGCTTACAAGAGTTTAATTTGGGAAGGAGGCAGCACGGAGTAATAGATAAAGAGAATTGGTGTACAGGCATTGAATAGAGTTGCAGATGATGAGGAGCTAATTAGAGATGGGCATGGCCAAGGCATGGAGGCATGGCGGTGGCGCGTTGAGTAACCTGACTGTTGGGGGGGCGGCGCAACACCGGCAGAAGCAGCATTGGTTTGGCCTCTGCACATCTTCATCGAGGCGGTCAATCTCGTGGACGGCCGTATGCGGTGTGATACTCTTCGCCTTGGGGTTAATCTCTCTCTTCACTGGCCATGTCGCGACTAATCTCGACTGGTACTCTCAGCACTCATGGTTCTTCCCGCGGGTAAACTTCGAAGAACTCCATCATCTTTACTTCATGAGTCCTACATACGGGTTGTTCTCGCTACTTTGTAGTAACAAGATCAATTTTTCAGTTGGTAGTTGGAACGGAGTGCTCTGAATTTCCACATCGGTGATAAATCAGCCACAATGTGGAAGTGATACTTAGTTTCTGCGTTCAGAGCAGCATGCTTTTGAACTTCATCGTTTATTTTTGTAACCCATGGGTACATTTTCTATCTATGTCCTTAATAAACTCCAATTCTGCTCTTCCATTGATGCTACGTAGGAAAGGAGTATTCGTGCACCTATAGACATTTGGGATTCAAAATATTCGAAATATTACTATGGATGCAGTGAAAGAGGCCCAAGTTTTTCTAGTAAGTTATCTAAACTTGCTTGTAAGATCAGTGGCTTATACAAAAAAAATTGTCCATCGAGGCGAGGTTACATACTATTGCATCATTAACAATATTTATGAAAACATAAATAATACGTAGTATCATAATTTCAATAAAGTTTCTGAGAAAAACATTAAAATTAACATAAAATATTTAACACAATTTTATAGAAAGTAATACTCTATGTTCTTTCATATTTTTAAACGGTACATATTGCATCATTCTGAAACAAAGTCAAACATTATGTTTTTCTAATGAATTTGAATTTGAATTTCTAAACTTGGAACACAGTGTCAGAGAAGATTTTTTTCCAAAACAAACTCCAAAACTACGTGATTAATCTCGGTAGCCACACCCCAACGAAATTTAAAAAACCTAAAGGGGAATGTCGTTCCTGCCAAGGTTGCATGTCTTTTTTTCAACCCACTCGAATCCCAAATCTATTGTCTCTTGCTTAGACTGATAAATTGAAAAAATAATGATGCTATCATGGATTCAAAGGAGAAAGTATAGTTGGGTACTTGGGTGTAATGCCATAGATGGATCGGAAAGAAAGTGTTCGAGACTCAAAACAAAGTGTTCAAGATTTGAAAGGGCAGCTGCCCGCCTGCCCCCACAGTAGATATGCCACTTAGTATGGTGTATTTGGATGTGAGATAGCTGCTCATGTCCTATCTTGTGATTTGCTTTATGAGTGGATGAAACTTAGTGTAATGCATGCTACAATATAATATTACGGAAAGATATAAGGAACAATCAAGTAGAATAATGAGGAGTAATAGTTGATTAATTTTCTTGATTACTTTTATTATGATTTGATTTTAATACCTTCGTTAGTTAATCTATTTTAGGAAGTGATTTTCTTGGATTTCCCCTTCCTTACTTTTTGCATTCATATGCATGTAATCCCTCTTATAAAAGGGAGCTTTTCTATGCTAATGAAATATAAAAGAAAAATTAAGAAGAAACCAAGGAGAAGGAAAACTCCCCAAATTTCCATAGTCCTATCCATTTATCATTTATATTTCTTTCCTGTGATGCAAAGAATCTCGATACATAGAAGGAATTACACAAATTGACAAGCACTGCCACAATTAAAGGAGTCACTTTAGAAACTTTCTAACCACATTGCCAACTTTTCTCAATCAGTGGACTCCTTGGAAGGAGATGAAGCACCCGCATGAGTAAACACCTCGTCTACAGAAATATGCATATGCCTCAACCGCCATCACCGTTGCCCAGATCCATTTTGGTCCACTAAAACTATCCCAGTTTGCCATTGTATTCCGATGGAATTTTAATGGACAATGATCACCTTTGCCATAGTTCACCACTAAGAGTAACTTTCAATTTTCTTCAACAATACAAGGATCACATACACTTTTTATTGGTGAAGTCATTCAAAATCCAATTCAAGTTTTCAAGATTGAGGGGCAAGTTTGATTTTCTAGGAGGGGTGTAATGATGCATGCTACAATATAATATTATGGAAAGATATAAGGAGCAATCTAATAGAATAATGTGGACTAATACTTTTATAATGATTGGGAAAACTATCAAATAAGCCCCCGTACTATACTGAAAAAGTCGATTAGGCCCTCGTACTTTACAAACACTCAATTAAGTCCTCGAACTATTAAAAAACGTTCAATTAAACCCTTTCGGTCGGTAAGTGACCGGTTTCCCGGTTAAACAGCGATGACAGCGACGATGTGCTCGAACCCCAACAACAGCGGCTGCCGGGAAACAGGTTACATTTAACCGGGAAACCGGATACTTACCGACCTAAAGGGCTTAATTGAACGTTTTTTAATAGTTCGAGGACTTTAATTGAGTGTTTGTAAAGTATGAGGGCCTAATCGACCTTTTCGGCATAGTACGGGGGCTTATTTGATAGTTTTCCCATAATGATTTGATTTTAATACATTAATTGGTTAATCTATTTTACGGGTGTGTGACATGTTCCGTTATTTGGGCTTCATAATTCAAAAGGATGATGAATTAAATGGAGATGTATTCCATAGAATCAGAGCAGTATGGATGTAATGGAAGAGTGCATCAAGATTTCTATGTGATCGAGGTATGCAGACTAGATTGAAGGGTAAATTTTTTTGGATTACTATTCGGCCTGCATTAATGTATGATATAAGGTCTTGTGCGGTGAAACAATGTCATATTCAAAAGATGAGTTTGGCAGAGATGCGTATGCTGCGTTAGATGTGTGGACATACCAAAAAAGACCACTTGAGTAATGAGATAATCAGACAAAAGGTGGGAGTAACACCTATATAAGATAAGACGCGGGAGTCTTGATTGCGGTGGTTTAGTCATGTGTGTAAAGATCGAGCGATGCACTTGTTAGACGAGTTGAAAGGTCGGAGAAGAGGCGGGAAGGAGAGGAAGATGAAGACTCAAACGGCCTTGAGTTAGAGAAATCAGAACTGATATGCTTCTTTTTGGGTTGGATGAGAGTATGACTCAATGTTGTCAATCCCGGATAGTGGAGCGTAGCGGCCAACCCCGAAAGCGCTATAACGGTATAGCGGATAGCGGGATAACCACTCTTTAGACAATATATATGCAAAATACATATTATATGTATGCATACATTACATGTCATGAACATATTAATTCCAAGAGATGATATATCACAAATATGTTAGTCAAACGTCATGAAATTTATACGTACTAAATTAAAAGAGGCATTAGAGTCTTAAACAAAAGAAACAAATAATTTAAGTACCTTACCTCTAAACATTAGAAATTAGTTTCAGATTATTCGATAAATTTGTCATTAATATCTAATTATAAGAAAATCATGGTTGTTGGGATGCCTTGAACTACCTAGTCTACGGTAACATGGAGATACTCCGTATATGATATAGACCATGTTTGATCTTGGTTTCTATTTTGAGCTATTTTAGTAGTCCTTACTACTATTTCGTAGCTTCGTTTGCCAACCGCTCCGCTATAGGTAGTGCTAAGCCACTATTGCCAACCGCTCCGCTATAAGCAATCTCATAGCGCCTACCCTCCGCCCCGCTCTGCTATTCTGTTATAGTGTCGCTGTAGCCCACTATTGACATCACTGGTATCACTTTAGAGAGAGCAAAGTGGAGGGACGCATATTCGTGTGGGCGATTGATCTCCTTTCTTTCTTTCTTTCTTTTCTCTTCCTCCTTTTCTTTTACCTTTTATCTTATTTATCGTTCTATATTCTTATGTTATTTTTATCTTTTATCTTTCTTATGTTCTTTTATCTTTTTATCCTTTGTCTTTCTTATATTCTTTTGTTATTTATCTTATACTTATTTTTATTTTATCCATTTTATCTTACCTTATCTTTTTATTTTTCTTATCTTTTGGCTCTGATATCATTGATCGATTCACGATAGCCGACCACAAAACTTTTTGGGAATAAGGTTTGGATGTTGTTGTATACTTGTATTAGTTAATATATATTTGGAAGTTATTTTCTAGGTTTTCCCTTTCTTTGTTTTCTGCATTCATATGCATGTAATCACTCTTATAAAAGGGAGTTTTGCTATGCTAATAAAATATTGAAGAAAAATTAAGAAGAAATCAAGGAGAAAGAAAACTCCCCAAATTTCCATAGCCCCCCTATCTATTTATCATTTATGTTTCTTTCCCGTGACGCAAAGAATCCCGGTACATAACATAGTGTTTGAACCTAAACCCAATGCTGGCATCTCTTACAAGCTACATTGACTGAGGGATTCAATGCTACAAGTTCAATATATCTGTTGAAACTATATTTCTATGATGTATTGTCTATAATCTAAGTAGTTAAATCGCTACTCGGTAGCAACTCAGTCAAGGGCCGAGTAGCGATTAGGACCAAGTACTCATGATTACTCGGCCTTATATTAATTAAATTCAAAAATATAAATACCCGAAATTATAGTAATATGCTATTCTTATAATTCTTAGATATGAATACAATAATAATAGTAATCCTAATGAAGAAGAAACAGGAAAGAAGATAGAGGAGAATAACTTACCGAGAGATAAGGAACCACTACTAGAATGAGCCAATGTCTGAAGTACTTTTGAATCTAGACTTTTAAGGCTTATTTCCATGTTTTAGAATACCCACTCATTATTTGTAAATTCCATAATATCCCTCTTTAATTAAAACTTTTAAAATTTAACAAAAAATATATATTTATGACTGGCCTAGTAACTCGCCGAGTCGGAAGAAATTCAAAACAAGAAACTCTCCGAGTACTCAGCGAGTAACTCGGAAAATAGGGTCAGCTGAGTCAGGTTGCTAAATGGAACAGCCACTCCCCGAGTTGCGAGTACTCGCCTAGTACTCACTGAGTTGATGACACAGTCTATAATAATCATAATTGTGTGCGGTCAGTTTTGTTGTGTTTTTTTTAAAAACTTGCTCTCATTTGTTTTACACTGCATAATAAGTATGTATTTGTTGAAGCACCAAAAAACTTATGTATTACAACTAATGTTTATTTTGCTCAACTTCAATCATTATATTTTTCATATTACCATCCTGAGATTCGTTCTTATCATTTTGCTCTTTTAGGCAAATTGTCACTCAACTTCTTAATCTTGTAGAGTACATTTCTCGTGATATGTCACTAGCTTGTCTCTATTGTATAATTTTTGGGCAAAAAGAGTCCTTTACAATGCCAATTTGAACTATAGGCCCTGTTTCTGAGCGATCTTCAAATGGGTACCTACTCATTGCAACTAGTGGAGGGCTAAACCAACAAAGGACTGGAGTAAGAATTCTCAATCATCTTTATTTTGGTTGGAATGATAACGTTAGAGGATCAAAGGATGTTAAAGATTTTTTTAATTTCACTTTTTACTTTTGAGTTTCCTTGCTTATAAAGTCACATATCATATTTCACATTTCTAATTTATTTATTTTTTCACATTTCACAGATAACTGATGCAGTTGTAGTTGCAAGGATACTGAATGCAACTTTAGTTGTACCTGAGTTAGATCACCATTCATTTTGGAAAGATGACAGGTTTGTCCAGATTGTTCTGTTTCCTTTTAGAAATGCATTGCAAGCTTTGTAATCTTGATGATCTAAAACAAGGTTTCGTCTTTCTTATCGTTTTCCTTTACCCTTTTACAATGATATTTAAATGCAGTGATTTTGTCAACATATTTGATGTGAACTGGTTCATCTATTACCTGGCCAAAGATGTAACTATTGTCAAGAGAGTCCCAGAGAAGGTTATGAGATCAATGGAAAAACCCCCATATACAATGCGTGTTCCTAGAAAGTCAGAGCCAGAATACTATTTGGACCAAGTATTGCCTATACTGTTACGAAGACGTGTAAGTGACAAACCTATCACTGCGATTAGTGATTTGGCTATACTTTTCCTAATGGGCGACCCACTAGTGTTTCACTCATTTTCATTTTCATTTTCATTTACCCCAGTGCCGCAAAGGCTCCCACCTACGGTGGGGTACCACTAGTGTTTCACTGTACATGATAAAACATAAATCTGTGTATGCAGGCTGTGCTTATTTTAAACTTGGTGACCAACATATTCCTCACCAAGCATCATGTATTTGAAAACTAATGCTATGGCTCTTAATGTCTCTTTTTTGGTGCTAGTATAAATACAGTAGGTTATCAACTCTATTGTGCTGGGAAATTATTCATCCTGCCTTATGACTTTTTCTTTTATGTATATCAACAATAAAAATACGCCAAAAAATTCTTCCACCAACTGAGTTAATTTTTGAAGTGATAGAAGACATTAATTTGGGGATTATGGGGAGACATCTCTACGTGACACACATTCACTGAAGTAAGACATGCGATCATAACCCAATGAAAGTGAACCTTATAAGAATGTCTCCTTAGAATGTCCAAACATAATGCTTTCCTAACATTACTCAACTCTTAGGGTGTTCCAGATGTGGTCTTATCATGCACAGTGTATAGTGCACAAGAGGGAACACATGGGACAGTGCTTTTATGTGATGAGTAATTGTGTTCCATGGAACTGTTAACGAGTAAGCATTAAATATAAGGTATTCATGTACAGTTGCCATTTTTTACTTTAGTAATTGGATCATGGACTGATATTCTTGTTAAGTCGGTCCTTTTTTCGTGGGGTTGGATATTACTCTGATACTCGGTGTGTGAGAATGTAGAATTAATAGCCAGTACAGTCCCTCGATCTCAGTTCTTGGTCATCAAGTTTTTATTGGACGCAATTTTGTCCTTGACAATAAAATTTGGATGTTATACATTTGCTGTGGTTATATGAATGACCTGCTCTGCTTGTCTTTTATATGTCCATCTTAACAAGCCAAGCTAACATTATTCTCTTCTCTCAAGGTGTATGAAAATATTGAAAGACTTGTATGGTAGAATGAGTTTGTTGGTAACTTTACATACTAAATGGAACCCTGTTATTGCTTGCAGGTTCTTCAGCTGACAAAGTTTGATTATCGCCTTAGTAATGAATTGGATGTAGAACTACAGAGGTTGCGTTGTCGAGTGAATTATCATGCCTTAAGATTTACTAAACCCATAAGAAGTATGGGTCAAAAACTCGTGTTTCGTATGCAGAATATGGCAAAGCGTTTTATTGCTGTTCATTTGAGGTTTATCTCTCTTTTCTATAACTATTGCTGTTCATTTATGCTTTACTTTTTAAGTTCAGAAACAAATACAAAATCTACTGATAGGTTTAATTGTTTAAAGCTGCAATTCTAAGTCTTTAGCCTTTAAGTATTGTTCCTCTGGGGAATGTTGAAATATAGAGTATAAACTAAAAATAATATATGAGGAAGGATTTTCTGTGTATTTCATTGGAGAGTTAAGTCCCTATAAATATAAATTACAAAGATACAATAATTCTATAAAGATATTTTACCGTAATAATATCATAGAGTATATTCCTAAAATATTCTAAAGCATATTCTTAAACTTATTCTAATATCTTTCACACTCCCCCTCAAGTTGGAGCATAGATATTTATCATGCCCAACTTGTTACATAAGTAATCAACACGAATCTCATTTAGTGCTCTAATGAATAAATCACTAATTTTTTTCTCTAGTTTTCACATATCTGGTAGAGAACAATACTTTTTGTATCTTCTCCCGAATAAAATGACAATGAACCGCAATATGCTTTGTTCTCTCATGAAATACTGGATTAGTAGCAATATGTATAGCAGTTACGTTATCACACCACAACTTAGCTAAGTAGCACCAGGACGAAAACGGATACGGAAAGGGGGGCGAGTAAACTCCAATATAAAAAAAATCAAGGTACGGGTACGGCGCACGGAAACGTCAATTTTTTTTTTTTTACTAATATTAACAAATAGCTATTATATGAGGTCATGTTTACGTCCAAAAAGTAAGAAATAAATAAACCAAACATTTGTATGTTGTTATCCATTTACAAGCATAAAAAATAAAGAGTCGACGACTGCTATTAAATCTGAATCAGAGATGTTAGATTTATCAAGATTTATTGGTAGCTAAATATCCTCTGTATTTTTTAGAACTGACCTTGCATCTTATTTGACCTTTCACCTCCTTTCTCTCATTAATGTACTTGTAGAAAGTCAAGCTTGCCCTCAAGCTTGAAAACTTGAACTAGATTTTGAACGACTGCACCAATAAAAAGTGCCAGTGATCCTTGTATTCTTGAAGAAGATTGAAAGTCACTCTTAGTGGTGGACTATGGACAAGGTGATCATCGTCCATTAAAAATTCCATTAGAATACAATGGCAAACTGGGACAAGCTTAATGGACCGAAATGGATCAGGGAAATCCAAGAAGTTTTTTGGGTAGTTGATGGGCTAGGGCAGTCTGCAATATGGGTGTTCTAAACAACGTTGGTTCTAGAAGATGTTGTGTTGGAAGCAACGTTGTCGACAGTTGAGGCAGAAATTCTGCAGATGAAGTGTTTAGTGATGGGGATGCTTCATATCCTCCCAAGAGTCCACTGATTCGAAAAGGTTGGCAATATGGTTAGAAAATTTCCGAAGCAACTCCTTTAATGGTGGCAGTGCTAGTTGCACCTTTTGCACTGTATTTTGCTGTTTGCGAAGATGCCCTTCGCTTATCAGTTTGTGTAACTCATTTTGTATCCTTGAGTGGAATGTGTACAAATCAGCAGGAAGTGTGAAATTCCCCATGACGCCGGCAATGAAACCAAAATGTTATGTTCCCGGGCTAGAGCGCGCGTCAACCGGCGATGGTGAGGAGAGAGATGGGATTTCTCTATCATTTGAAATTGTTCAATTGATTGACTGAATTTCCCAAACAATGCATGAGGACTCTCTTTCTGACCATAAAGAGACTCGCTAAATTGACAAACTTTCCCATACTCCCACTGAGCAACAAATTCCAGATGTTACTCGCTTATAAACTTCCTCCTAAAGGTCAACTTGTAAGAATGCATTTTTAATGTCCAACTGATGCAAGTGTCAATCATGAGTTGCAACGAGTGAAATGAGTAACCCCACATATGTTAACTTGGCAATTGGAGGAAAAATATTAGAATAATCAACATCATAGGTGTAAGCATAACTCTTCGCAACTAATTGGGCTTTCAACCAAGCAATAGATTCGTCTGGATTGACCTTTTCAGCAAAGACCCACTTACATCCAATAAACATCTTTCCTATAGGCAAGTCTACCAAATCCCAAGTACCATTAAGATCCAAAGCATTCATTTCCTCCATCATGGCATGCCGCCATTCAGGATGAGACAAAGCTTCTTTAACAGATTTGGAAACAAAAATATAATCAATGGAATCAATGAGACAGAGGATAACGGACTATTTGACACAAAGGAAAAAATAGGCTGAGTGAAGACGGTGTACCTTTACATAGTGCTATCGGGTGGTTAAAAATTTGATCTAGAGGCAAGATCTAAAGATGCAGGTATTGGTTCAAGATATGAGTTCAAGGTCGATCGATATCAAGATAAGTCAGGTGGAGGGTGATCTAGTGCTTTGTTTTTACGGGTGTATACCAAGTGTATTTGAGGCCTAAGGTCGGGAATAGTAACACGTGGAATAATTTGCCGAAGGTGTGGACTCGGGTATAATAACCGTATAAATGAGTATTTCATCATTGTCCCATGAACATCTGCCTTGGATGATGAAAATGATGTATTTTTATGAAATGAGGCATTGATTGAAACAAGACACCGACCTGTACTGGGACAAAAACATCTATACCCTTTTTGAATTCAAGACTAACCTAAGAAAATACATCTCTAATAAAAACTAGTGCAATCAAATATTTTTGGTGGTATAGGAAAAAGTTCTTTATTAAAAAAGGCATTGATAAAGAGCTTTACCATCCAAAACAGAATTCGACATACGAAACCGTATAAATGAGTATTTTATCATTGTCCCATGAACATCTGCCTTGGATGATGAAAATGATGTATTTTTATGAAATGAGGCATTGATTGAAACAAGACATCGACCGGTACTGGGACAAAAATATCTATACCCTTTTTGAATTCAAGACTAACCTAAGAAAATACATCTCTAATAAAAACTAGTGCAATCAAATATTTTTGGTGGTATAGGAAAAAGTTCTTTATTAAAAAAGACATTGATAAAGAGCTTTACCATCCAAAACAGAATTCGACATACAATTATCAAAAAACATGCGGTCTCCCAGCATCAACCCAAAATCGTTTAGGCACATTCATTTGAAACAAAAAATCCCTTGCACTTTGGAATGAGTCTCAGTTCTGTCTTCTAGCAACTCTGTTTTGAGGTGTGTCTATGCATGAAGTTTGATGAACAATGTCATGTTGACGCATAAAGGACGTAATGGAGCAAATAGATATTCTTGGACGTTATTTCCCCTTAAGACACGGACATGAAATTAAACTGAGTTTTAAATTGAGTTTTAAATTTTGCACACGTGCAGAGAAATTGCGTAAATAACTGTGAGTGACATTTCATAAAGTATAACCAAGTCATATGAGAATAATCATCAACAAATGTGACAATATTTAAAACCAATGTGACACTATTAAATTGTGTATATATTTGTTTCATTAGTGGGAGAGATGGGTGTCCTAGTTGGTAATGAGCCTCTCATAAGGTTCCAACCCCAAGATAAGAGATACCTTTTGTGATTGATGTATTTAAAATATAAAGACCAGTTGACTCATGTCCTTTACCCATAGTCTGCTTCGTCGATAGATCTCGAAACATACAATATTCAAGAAAAAATGTAAAATTAGGAAGACTCAAACATATGATAACGTAATGTAAAAGTTGGGACAATAGTACCATATCTGAGGACCAATGAGGTAGATCTGTTAGCTAAAGTGACACTAGAAGTAGGTGTTGGGCCGCGGGAATGCGATGTCAGTAGTTCTGCCAGCCTAGTTCTGCTAGCCTGCACGTGTAATTGAGTGTGGTGTTTTGCCTGTTCTATAAGTGGGAAGAGTGTACTATACTACATGTGATTTTTTTAGTGTAGCGGTATGTGCAAACGATCCACAAGTGGTATTGGAGCCAAATGTCACGGGTTCGACCCCCAAAAATAGCATGTTGTGCAGTTGAGGGTGACAGGCTGAAAAGTGCTTGGGGATTGTTGGGCCGCGAGAATGCGGTGCCAGCAATTCTACCAGTCTGCCAATGCAATCGTCGTGGCACTTTGCCCATTCTATAATGGGGGAAAGACGTGCTACACTATTAGCGATTGCTTTTAGTGTAGCGCTAAGCGCAACGATTCACAGTATTCGAACTTGAATGAAATGATGAGAAAAGGTTAGGATTACCAGATATATGGTGTGTGGCACCTGAGTTAAAGACCCATATCAAGGATGAAGAAATAAGACATGTATTTGAAGTACTTGAATAAGCGACTACCGAGATAGGAACAAATGAATGCTATAGAGACTCTCAGTAGCAAAGAAATAGATACCATGTTTAAATATTGAGTATAAAATAAAATAATATCTGAGGAAGTTTTTTCTGTGTATTTCATTGGAGAGATAAGTCCCTATAAGTACAAATTACAAGGGTATAATATTCTTATAAAGATGTTATATAATAATAATATCCTAGAGTATATTCCTCAAGTATTCTAAAGCATATTCTTATACTTATTCTAATATCTTTCATAGGGAACAAACCTAATTATTCTTGATATAATAACAAGAACAAAAACATCCATAAAGGACCATTTCAACACTCTAAATCGCTAATCCTGCGATAATGTAGACTCTGTATGCATATTGACTACTCTTGCTACCACCAATTTTTCTCGGCTTGACCATTTACCGAAGATGAACTGCGGATGTTCCCAGTTTTGCTAGCCACAATAAGGAGTCAAATGTATAATTGGTACATAAAACAAAATGTTTGAGGGTGCAGTCTGTTTTTGTGAAGAAGTATTTTAGTTTGAAGAGTTCAGAGCTCATTTTTGGTGCAGATTCCTACATAAACTCACAATCATTACGTTTATTCACTGTTTCTGATGTCCATGTTTTGGATGTTCTCCCAGATTTGAACCTGATATGTTGGCATTTTCTGGATGCTACTATGGTGGGGGTGATGAAGAAAGATATGAACTTGGTCAAATAAGGAAAAGATGGGAGACCTTACCTGTAAGATATAATAATCCTTGCGAATTTCTTTATTTAGATTTCTCATTTCAAAGTTCATGCTAATTGCAGTTTGCATTAAATAAGAGTTTGTGCAAGTGGAGCCAAGGGTTCCTGTATTACTTCTCAAATCTGTTAGCTTCTGTAATTATTACCAGGACTTGTCTATTTTTGGGTAAATAACTCAAATAGATTTATAATTAATATTTACTCCGTTCCTTTATTGTTGCAACACTTTGACTTTTACACTATTTACATACTCTACTCTGACTACATTTTATTTATTAATGTATTGAAAGTTTATATATACACAATACTATAAAAATTTGTTCCAAGTAAAATTAAAAAGGGGAAAATAATTTAAATACCCTGAACTTTTGAAGCATGTGAGGTAAGCACCCCAAACTTGCATAACTAATATAGGTACCCCCGAATTTTATATAAAAGATATCTTAGCATCACGGTCATAAGTTTTTTTCTTTCACAAACGTAAATTTATAGTGTTAAGTAATTAATTTAAATATTCTAAGCATTTTTTAGAGTGCAATTAACACTATAAACTTAATTGTGAATGTTATTTATTTAAAATATTGAAACTTAGATAATGATTTCATCCTTATAAATGCCCAAAGTATTTTAAATTATACTCCCTCCGTCCCATTTGAAGGTTCCCACTTTCTTTTTTTTGTACGTCCCATATAAAGGTTCTCATTTCCATTTTAGGAAACAATTAACAATCTTAAGTGACAAATTAATCATTAAATATTACAAATAATACATTTAAACATCCCAGTTATCAATACTAACTACATTATAATATATACCTATTAAAATTATTTCTCAAAATATACTCGAAGTACTTTATTTAATTATTGTCTAATTAACCGTGCCGTTTCGCTATGGGAACCTTCCACCGGGACGGAGGTAGTATATTTTAACACTAATAGTTTGCATTTGTGAAAGAAAAAATATACTATGATAGTGCTATGATAAATTTTATATAAACTTCGGGATATTTTTATTACATATCCAAGTCTGGGGTACTTACCTCACACCCCCTTAAAAGTTTGGGGTATTTAAATTATTTTCCCCAATTAAAAAAATATGTTTTTTAAATCAATTTTTTCTAATAGCTAATTGAATAGGGAAAACTATCAAATAAGCCCCCGTACTATGTCGAAAAAGTCGATTAGGCCCCCGTACTTTACAAACACTCAATTAAGTCATCGAACTATTAAAAAACGTTCAATTAAGCCCTTTTGGTCGGTAAGTAACCGGTTTCCCGGTTAAACGGCGACGATGCGCTCGAACCTCAGCAACGGCGGTTGTCGGGAAACAGGTTACATTTAACCGGGAAACCGGTTACTTACTGACCAAAAGGGCTTAATTGAACGTTTTTTAATAGTTCGAGGACTTAATTGAGTGTTTGTAAAGTACGCGGGCCTAATTGACTTTTTCGGTATAGTACGAGGGCTTATTTGATAGTTTTCCCAATTGAATATATTAATGGTCAAAGTGGTGTGTTGGCAACCATGAAATTTAAAGTGAACAAAGGTAGTATCAGTGATGCATTTTGTTAGCATTTTGCCCCCTCTCTAGCATTTTCCCGGGTCTAAACATCTACATAATGCTGTCTATTTTCACGCAGGAGGCTAGCCCAGATGAAGAGAGGATGAGAGGGAAATGCCCTTTGACACCTCATGAAGTAGGTCTGATGCTGCGAGCACTGGGATTCAAAAACGACACTTACCTTTTTGTTGCATCTGGAGAAATATATGGTGGAGAAAAGACTCTTCAGCCCCTAAGAGAACTGTTTCCTAACTTTTATTCCAAGGAGATTCTTGGAGGTGAAGAACTAAAACCTTTCCTTTCATATTCTTCCCGCATGGCCGCAGTTGATTACATAGTGTGCGAGGAAAGTGATGTCTTCGTCACTAACAATAACGGAAACATGGCAAAGATCCTTGCTGGTCGAAGGTAACAATTGCTCAACTCTTATTAAATCAAATTTACTCCTGTTTTCCACAGTGAATAATTTTTAAATCAGTTTGCACTCTATTGAAGGGGAGCCTTGGCGCACTGGTTACGGTGTTGCTGTGTGACTGACAGGTCAGGGTTCAAGTTTTGGGAGTGGCCTCTTGTCAAAATGACAAGGGAAGACTTGTTCCTTATACGCCCTCGTGGTGAGACCTTTCCCTAGACCCTCGCCTTGCAGGGACGCCAATGTGCACCAGGCTGCCCCTTTTTACTCTAATAGAATGCTATTTTAACATTGAGTTCAAACCTTCTGGCATATTGATGTGCTCGTCAGTAGTCACCCTGATTGGTTCATGACCATCACCTTAATCACATGACATGAAATCTGTAGTGTGAATTATTTGTTTTAAATTAACGCTAAATTATCCCTCTATCCCACTTTGTAAGATACACTTTCTTAAATTGAACCCTACTAACTTTTTACTTTCCAATTTATCCCTTCATCTATCATTTCACCCTTTACTTTTTTTGGAGGTTAGAATGGTAAAGCAACCACTATATCCTTTATTTTCTTAAAACCCACAAACCCACTTGTATCTTACATTATGGGACGGAGGTAGTAATATGGATTTTGCTACTCATCCTGATTGGTTCATCATCATCTTAATCCCATGGCATGAAGTCGTAAGTGTAAATTAATTGTCTAAAATTAGCAATGTAAACTAATATTGAAATGCAGTGTAAATTAGTTGTGTAAAAGTAACACTCCAAACTCCTGCAAGAGGCAGTGGCAAAGTTTTAAGCTGGATACCATTCATGTACAACCTTCTAAAAAAGGAACAATAATACTCCCGTCTCTAAATAAACCACACACTTTACTTTTTGGTCTAACTCAAAATTGTCTTTCATTTTCTTTCAAGGAAAACATTATGTGGTTGGTTCATGTTATTTCCCTCTATTCAAAGTTTAACCGTACAGTTTTTTCATTTTCTTAACCTTCGTGCTAATTAAATAGGGAGTTTATTTAGGGACGGATGGAGTAATAACATGAAATCCCAAAACATAAGGAGTATATAGTTGCCACTTGCATGGAAAATATGATGAGCTGACAATGAGTTGAGATACTTGGTATAGTAATATGTCATTTGCAATATAGACATTGTTGAATCAACATGCACACTGACATGGAACATGTTGAACGTATTGTGATTGATTGATGCAACATATGACTGTCATAAAAAAAAGAGAAGTCTAAGAACCATCAATTAATATGATGTCAACCAAGAGACAACAACATTGGACTTGAAATCGTGGGACAGAAGATTTCAATTCTTTAACCTGTTGAGAGACTGACTACTAATGTAATGTAATTCCAAACCTCTGTTGTGCTTGATGGTGGTGGTATTGCCGGCTACTCAAAGGCGTTACATGGGACACAAGAGGACCATAAGGCCGAATGCAAAAAGACTAAGTGCTCTATTCATGGAACGGGAGAGGATGGGTTGGGACACGTTTGCCGCAAAGGTGAAGTCATGCCAGCGGGGGTTCATGGGAGAACCTGATGAGATGAAACCTGGGCGTGGGGAGTTTCATGAATATCCCGCCTCCTGCATATGCCACAAACCCTTCTTCAAATATGACGTCAATTCTAGCCTCGAGCAACACAACATCGATGTTCTCAGCAGCATACAGAAACTCCATGAAAGGGAAGTGAGAGCAGAACCGAAAACATCTGTGCTGGAAGATAGTACCGACCATTGGGATGACCCCTCGTCTGACTGACTGACTGCCTGCCTGCCTGCTTGCCAGCCATTGAATCAGTATTTCCATGGAAAGGACCATACTCCTCCACACATGGAGACCTGTGCTTGTGCCCTTTCCACTGGCTCTGTTTGGATGAAGGGTTCTCGAGGTTTGGAGGAAAAGGGTTTGGAGAGCTTAGCCTTATATCTTGAGTTTCTTTTTGAAATTTAACATAGCTTGCGATTTGTATAACTTCGAATCACCTTTTTGTAGACTGAGCTCTAGAAAGTCTTTCCCTCTAAGCTCGTCCAAAACCCTTCATTTAAACTGACCCTTGAAGTTTGTTGCTTGGAGACCCCAAATTTTGTTCTCAGCACAGATCCAAGTACAGTTCGGAACAGCCCACTTCTTAGAGTTGTCTGTTATCTTTTATATTATCCCTGGATCAGTGTATACATACATACATACATGCATATATATATATATATATATATATTATACATATGTATGTGTACGTATATAGCATAAGATTCAGAATTACGAGGATGAGCTACAAATTGTGCATAAATATGAACTCCATAATTTGTAAAATACACGAGCAGTAGGAAGAGTTGGTTATTGCTTTTTCTCTATCTTGCTTTTTGAGACATGAACTGAGGACTACCACCACTTCATGAGTTCATGGATTGAGACATAGAGTTATTATCTCACATATTTAACTTAGGATTGAAAAATCTATACGTTTGGATTCAACCTGTATCTTTGGCACAACTGTTTTGTATGTTGTACTCCCCACTGCCCCGGTCCACCTTAAATTTCTCATTTCTATTTTAGTAAATAATTATCATTTTTAAATGAAAAAGTAATCATCAAATATTCAAAATAATACATTTATAACTTCATATTCATTATCAATGATTTCATTGTGTTATATACTACATATTCATTAAAATTATTTCCCAAAATATGATCAACTTATTTTATTTAATATTGTATAATTAAATGTGTCATTTTTCAATCATAAATTTAAAGCGGAGCGGAGGAGTTACTGTCACTGCTAGTGGTACAACACCAAGAACTCAAGAATTAGTTAAATAAATGTAATATGTAACCTATTTGGTTACATTTCCCCTGAATTATGTGGGAAGAGGTACCTTTTTTAGGTGCAATACATTTGGATGTTTGTTTATATAAGCTTATTTTTTATGAACGGAATATTTTCACTTGAATGTTTACTATATTTAAAGCTTATTTGTTAAGAGCTTGGGGTACCTGTCATGTATTTTTGAATATGTTCAGCTTATTTGTTAGTTACCTTTCATGTATTTTTCTGTGATGAGTTCAAAAGCATCACATTGTCATTTAAGCTTGGAGGTCAACATTTATGGTTGTTATATGAGTTTGAATTTGTATTTCTGTTACTTCATAGGTTGGATGGAGGGGATTTTGCAGTTGTAACTTTTACGGAGTAACATTTTTCTTGGTTCCGCTTTGTAATCTTCCTAGTAACAACTGACAATTTCACCAACTTTGTGATACTTTGATTTTCCATTCTCTATAACACATTCTGAGTGTCATTCTTCATACTTGTAATTATCTTTGATTTAAATAAGCTAAAGTACATCAAATCTAAAGACCAACAGAAGTGGCCAAGTTTTATTAAACTTCTGTAATCAATTGTTGGAAGTCCACCTACTTTAACTCTTTAAGGTTGGACCCAGAGGGGATTAGAGATGCAATTTTTAGCAATTTTCTTGGTTCCATTATGTTATGACATTTATATTTCATTAACCTTAATATTAACAACATATACCAGAAATAAAATGAACAATTTGAGTTTCAATTTGTTTACCAAAAACAGGAACTAATTCGGAAATCAGATGACCAAAATTAATTGCACATAAACCAACAACATCACATTTTATTTACCAAAACAAACAGCACAGGTCAGAAAGTCTCAATCAGTACTATAATTTCATTGACCAAAATGAACAACATTACATATCTGTAATAGTATAAAAACTAATACAGGATAACAACTATATATATCAAGTATCAGTTAGTGTATCCAATTATTACATTTTCTTTATCATAATTAGTACTGGACTCGGGCCGGTTCGGGCCTAGGCCCGGCCGGGCCTCGGTTCGGAAATGTAAGGCCCGGGCCCGGCCCGCCTGTATGCGGGTGCCGGTTTGGGCCGGGTGACCCGGCCGGGCCCCGGGCCGGGTGAACCGGCGGTTCGGGTCGGGCCTTGATTTTTTTTTTTAACTTATAGTCTTATACATGTACTTGGAATCTTGGATATTAAAAACAATCTTGAAGTACATTTATGTGAAATAAGTTATAAGTACATTTTGAGAATTGAGAACAATTAATTCTAATACATTTTGTATTAAGTAATAATAATATAATATAATTAATTTGTTGTAAGTTGTAAGTTGTAACTTGATTAATTTGAGAAATGCGACATATAAAAAAATATAACTTTTATTGATTTGAAATATGAACTACAAATCTACAAGTTCACAAATTACAATAGAGAATTGAGGATAAAATAATAAATTGTAAAATACTAATCAATCAGAATCCCCGGCATAGGTAGAACCACCCTCGGTTGATTCATCCATAAAGTCTTGGGAGGGGGTGAGGCTAAGTTCTTGAGTTCTACGTCTTGCCTTCAACCAATCGTGGTAGCATTTAAGCGTCTCAAGAGATTCGGCACTCAAACACGTTCTCGATTTAGTTAGGACGTTGCCGGCCGAACTAAATTCTTGTTCCACGGCAACTGTTGAAACCGGCATTGATAGTACTTGCTTAGCCATCCGTGCTAAAATCGGGAACATTCTTTCTTTTGACTTCCACCACTTTAGGACGTCAAATTCTTCATTTTCTACAAACTCAACCTCATAGTTAGTATACAAAGCAATCTCATTAATTGTGCTTTGTTCAGTAGTGTGCGTTGTTTTAGTTTTTTTCATAAGATTGCCAAATGCAGATTTAAAAAATCCTTTTCCTTTAGATGAAGATGTTTGGGTTGGGGGAGGGGGCGCGTTGCCATATTGTGCACGAAACTCATTAAATAAAGAATAAAATAAACTACTAACCTCGTTGTATTCAGATTGCGGATCTATAGGGTTATCTTCATACATTGGAAAATCACCATAAAAAGATTGATAATAGAACTTGTAACATTGTTCCAAATTACCAAGTCGATAACGAGGATCGAGAATAAATGCAATACCATAAATATGCGGAATATGTGCATAATATTTTAAAAACTTTTCCTTCATAAAAGTACAAAAATAGCTCACATAATCGGCATTTTGAAATTCATTAAAAGCACCGGCGAGATTAACAAGTTCACGAATAAATTCGCAAGAAGTAGGTTTATAAACATGACTAAAACTTTCAGTTGCATTATTAAAAAATATCAAAACATTACAAATTTTTTCGCAAGTGTCGATGTGAGCGGAGTTTAAAATGTAGTTATCATATTCTTTTAAAAAAGCAGGAAAATGTTCTTTATATCTAATAAGAACTCTAATTAATTTATAAGAACTATTCCACCGAATAGACAAATCTTTAGGAAAAGCAACATATTTCACATTTCTTTCATTCAAATAATTTTTCCATTTTAATCTAAGTTGACCATTAGCCCAAATACGTCTAATCCCCCCCCTTCGCTACCTCCATAGCATCTCCCAACGCTTTTAGACCATCCTGCACACATAAATTTATTATATGGCATGCACATCGTTGATGAAAAAATCTACCCATCAAAGTAGTAGAACCACACAATTCACGCAATCTAGGTATAGCAGCAGTATTATTAGTAGCATTATCAAAACCTATAGCAAACACCTTATCAACCAAATTATACTCAATTAAAATACGCTCAATCAAAATATAAATATGTTCGGCGGTGTGACGATCATTAAATTCACGAAAAGCAAGAACACGTTTATGCAAATTCCAATCATCATCAACATAATGTGCAGTCAAACCCAAATAATGTAAATTATGATAGGTGTCCTCCCATATGTCAGAACAAACAGTAACACGCCCATCATAGTTTGCAAAAAAAATTTGTAAATTCAACTTTTCCGCCTTATAAAGCCTTATAATTTCTTTTTTAACCGTTTTTCGACTATAACTTCGAAATTGAGGATTTAAACAAGTTTGTGCATACTCTTTAAAAGAAACACTTTCAGAAAACAAATAAGGTAAATTTTCTTCAACCATAAAGTTAGCCATACCAGTCAAATTTTGTTGATCATTGTATGAGAAATTACCATAAGGTTGGTTATTTGCAAACCTCGATATTTGTGTTTGCTTCCCCTTGCCTTTCTCAATTTTTGCGTACTCCACCTTGTGCTTGCCCATAAGATGCCTTTTGAGGCTCCCGTATCCGCCCGAAGTTCCCAAACTGTACACCTTATCGCAATGGTTGCAACTTGCGTACCATTTCTCGGTGCTTGGGTCTTTATACTTTTTAAAATTATTTTCTATAATAGGAGATTTAGATTTCGTACCTATTTGGGATGAACCACCCTCGTCCTCCGCCTCTTGCTCCTCATCCGGGGTGCCGTGACTCCCGGCGCCCCCCGCGTCCTCCTCCGGATCGTCATCCTCGAGCTCTTCTTCGTCAATGGTGTGAATATCGTCCGGGATGTCTCGTTGATGGAAAAATTGAAGATTTTGAGCCAATAGTTGTTGTAGTTGCTCGTCGAACATTCTTTCGCCATCTCGCCGTTGGTATTCCGGTTCGTCCTCCCATCGACTTTGAGAAGAAGATCCGGACTGCCCGCTTTTTTTGCGCAAACTAGGATGAGTTCTCGCAATCTCCTTCTTTCGGTTGCGTTGGAGATTTCCGATATCCAAAGAATGTCTACCACGCTCCATCTTAACAAATATAAAAGTATATCAAATATTTTAATATGTCTTAATTTACTAGGTGTACACTTTAATGAGAAATGCAACAAATTAACTAGTTGTATACTTTAATTAAAATGTAACAATTAACTACTTCTACATTTTAATGGAAAATGCAACAAATTAACTACTTTTATACTTGAATTAAAATGTCTAAATTTACTAGGTGTACACTTTAATGAATAATGCAGTAACTTAACTAGTTTTATACTTTAATTAAAATGTCTAAATTTACTAGGTGTACACTTTAATGAGAAATGCAACAAATTAACTAGTTTTATACTTTAATTAAAATGTCTAAATTTACTAGTTGTACACTTTAATGAATAATGCAATAACTTAACTAGTTTTATACTTTAATTAAAATGTCTAAATTTACTAGGTGTACACTTTAATGAGAAATGCAACAAATTAACTAGTTTTATACTTTAATTAAAATGTCTAAATTTACTAGTTGTACACTTTAATGAATAATGCAATAACTTAACTAGTTTTATACTTTAATTAAAATGTCTAAATTTACTAGGTGTACACTTTAATGAGAAATGCAACAAATTAACTAGTTTTATACTTTAATTAAAATGTCTAAATTTACTAGTTGTACACTTTAATGAATAATGCAATAACTTAACTAGTTTTATACTTTAATTAAAATGTCTAAATTTACTAGGTGTACACTTTAATGAGAAATGAAACAAATTAACTAGTTTTATACTTTAATTAAAATGTCTAAATTTACTACTTGTACACTTTAATGAATAATGCAACAAATTAACTACTTGAATATAACGCCATTAATGGATAAAAGAAGAGAAGAGTACCTTGGTGGATTGGCCGATTGGTTGATGATGAATAGGGAGAAGATAATATATGTATGTAAAGTAGATAATTAGATATCAAATTATCTACTTTAAGAAGATAGTAAGTATATATTAACTATTAAGTAGACAATAAATATTAGTAAAGTACTATATGTATATATAAGTAGATAATAAATATATAAGTAGATATAATAAATTAATAATAAGTAGAGATTAAGTAGATAAGGAATATAAGTTATATAATATATATATATATATATATATGTAAAGTAGCTAATTATAAGATAATAAATATATATTAAGTAGATAATAAATATTAGTAATGTAATATATGTATATATAAGTAGATAATAAATATGTAAGTAGATATAATAATATTTATATAAATAATATATATGTAGAGATAATTGGAGAAGAATAGAAGATGAAGATGGAGATGAATGAAGATTTTAGAGATTGAGAGAATAGAGAATTAGAGATTAGGATTGTATGAAGAAGGTGTAAAAAATGTATAGAAAATAGGAGTATAAATAGGTTTTTTTTTCTCCCCCCACCCCCCTCCAACGGCTATAGAGCCGTTTGGAGGCTCCCAAACAGCCCCAACGGCTACAATAGCCGTTTGACAAAGACCAAGGCCAAAAAATAATTGAAAAAGATTTTTTTTTTTTAAAATTAGCCGTTAGGCCCGGACCGGGCCCGGCCCGGCCGGGCCGGTTCAAGAAAATCAAGGCCCGAGCCCGGACTGCCCTGCACCCGGGCCGGGTAGGCCCGAACCGCCTGAGGCCCGGTGGACCGGGTCGGGCCGGTTGCTACAGTGAGCGGGCCGGGCCCGGTTCGGTCCGCCCGGCCCGAGTCCAGGCCTAATCATAATAGAGCAACAAAAAATATTACAAAGATATGGCACATTGTCTTGCAGTATAGCTTTGCTTTTGCTTCACTCTGCGGTCTGCACAACTATTTTAATATTTTCAATAGAGCAACTGTTTTTTGTGACACCGCTCCCGAACGTCCTTGAAAATTTGATTTAAAATTCAAAGTTTATGTATTGGATTTCTGATTCCCAAACATTTTGTAAAACGATTAATGTTTTACGTAATTAATGATCGATTAGTGTACTGTTCGAACTCGTATATTAGTGTCGGGCATGCAAATACTATTTGGGTCTTATTAATAAATAAAAGAGCCCAACATTATCCAAATAGTGATACATAATCTTTCAAGACAATCCGAGTAAGGTCGCACGGCCCAAACGTTATTTTGAGCCCAACCTGCTAAAATAGCAAGTATTCGAGAATGGCGTTCTAGACCCACTCGGGAGTGACCCACACGGCTAGTAGCCCAATAATATGTATGACAAATGTCAAATAAGTGATAGAATGATTCAAGAAGAATACAAATGCCTATAACCCCATCTTTGACATTATTGAGCTAAATAATGGGAGTAGGGTGTTTCTTCTATAATATTCATCATGTAAATTATTGGGATGATCATACACATATTGGAGATCAATAATATGATGTAGAGGGTTGACTTGTTCCAAATAAATTAGAATGAGTACAAAGAGACATCTTATGACATAGAGATCAAAAGTGAGACCCATCCATGTCTAAAAACATCTCATGGAGACCATACCAATTCATTTCACTCCACACAACTTATCCACCCTTATTGAAGGGTCTTGGACACTCCCTTAAGCCCCTCATTCGAACTCCCAAGGATAAGGGAGAAGGAGAGAGCCACACAACCAATAAAGCAAGAGAAAGGGGAAGCTGCCGCAGGTTCGTTCTCCAGTGCGTAAGGTTACTTGTTTGCTTCATATCTCGAGTTATACACATCCAAATAAGGCGTGCGAGATACCCACAGAAAGCTCTCAAGACGAGGAATCCGTGAAGATCTGGTTTGCATCAATCGGAGTAGTGGAAGGCTTCCAAATCGTCCGATCAAAACACAACCTCGCGGAATACGTTTTTGTATTCAAAGTAAGTTTGAATCCAAAACATTCCTCTCTATTGTCTAAATCATATAAATGATTGAAGAATTATTATACACTGAGTGAAGTGTATCAAATGTTATTATAAAGTGACTTTAATTGTTAGAAAGGTTAGATACTAACCTACACAAAACCTTGAAAGGTTAGGGAACGGATTCATCGGGAAACACCCGTTCTAGGGACTGTTTTTGTGTCTTCGGTTAGGAGTTGAAATAGCACTTTGAGGGGGCTGTTTAACACTCAATTCCAAGCAAGGAATCAGTTCTCAAACTTCCTTGGACGGGACTTTGGTCATTGGATCAAGAAGGAAAAGTTTAAAGCTCAATTAAGGTGAGGACCGACATCTAGTTGCTTACAACTTGTAGGTTATGCATGAGATTACCTAAATGCTTGAATCATGTTTTTGTGAATAAATATGCTTGAACATGATATGAATAATAAGTAATGGACTTGATCGTGAATTGAAACCATATTGACGAATATGGAGTCATGTGAGATAAAAGTATGCTAATATGGTAAATTGACCTTCCAACTCATGTATGAATGTTATGTGTATGTAAATATATAATTGCATGATGATGCTTAGCACATGGGAGGCTGCCACATATCTATTGATATGGAGGGGCTACCATTAATGATAAATGAGTTGTAGGAATAATCTTAATAGTATTGTGATGCTAGTTAAGGATTGTTCAAAATGTTGATAGAATCAAACTTAAGGTTTGAGTTGTTTGTGATGAACTTGGATAAGATTCAAGTGTCAAGTGTGATTTCATGGAGTAGGAGATCTATGGTGTGATTGTATGAAGTAGGAGATCTATGGCGTGATTGTATGAAGTAGGAGATCTATGGGGTGAGTACATGAAGTAGGAGATCTATGATATGATTACATGAAGTAGGAGATCTATGATGCGAGTGCATGATGATGTACTCGAGCCGAACTCTAGAAATGAGAAGTTATATTAGGGTTGGACCCTATGTATGTCGTGACCATTAGTCACGGGGTCTTGGGAAATGTTTTGTAATAAACATGGGCCTTTGAGCCGACTACTTGACTTTATATAAAGTAAGTATGTATTTTGAAAGAGGTAATCTGGGATTACGACCTATACTATATTATCACCCTATTTGAGGGTCTTGTGTGTGAAATACTTGTTGTATATCTATTAGATGCCCCCCACACCAGCACTTTATAGCCCTATAGAGTGCTGACCCCTTCGGGGGCATCCCACCACCATTTTTCAGGTTGAGGCTAGAGCTTGCTTCCTGTGCTCGTTGCTCGAGAGATCATATAGGAGGGAAGACTTGGTTCGTGCTTCCTCCGTTCTGTTTTAAACATTAATAAACATGCTCATGAATATTTTACTATAGAGCCTGCGTGCTCATGTTTGCCACGTGTGGCATTTGTTTTCAAACTATGTTTTCCGCTACGTATTCGATTGCTTATTATGTTGTTTATGGATGGCTTACGTGTGAATGATATTCGAGACGCCTTGTATAATATGAATGTGTTGGACTGCGGTTGACTATTTGTATTGTACGGCGGGTTGTTGACGTGTCCGGGGAGGTCCGGGGCGTGACAATTAAGTTGGTATCAGAGCCTTAGTCCATAAACTTCATAATGAAGTCTCAAAATTTTCTTTTGAAAAGATTTTGAAAACCATGAGCATAGAAGTTTTGTACTTGGAGAGCTTTTGGTACTTGGGTTGCAAGGTCTCTAATTGTTAAGATGGTACCCTTAGCAATTGGTATGGCGGTGACTCGAGCCAAAACGTGTCTTAAGTACCTATCCGTCAATTGACATTTGATACGAGTCTAACGACTCTTTCCAATTTCTTTAAGAAATGGACCGTGGTGGCAGGATTACTAGGAGGAACCCGATCGGCCGTGTACCAGTGGAGACTGGACAGGGCAGTCGAAGGACCTCTAGGGCATCTAGAGGAGCTGGCCGTGGAGGCCGATCACAGACCGTGAGTGACGGTCATGTCGACACAGAAAGTGAAACCTACTGGTCCTATGAGGACTCGACTTACCAACCGGAAACCGAGCCGGTTGAGACCCCTTACGAAGGGGATGACGATGATGTGAGTGATGAAGAAGGGGAGAACGACTCCCTAGCAAGAATTGAGGCGCTGCTCCAGCAATATCAGCGGGAGCGCGAGGAAAGGAGGGAACGCCGAAGGCGCCGAGGAGGGCGAACTTCGGGTGGGGCTTCAAGAGGAAGAAGCCATGGCGACTCTAGGGCCCACATTGAACCACATGGGGGCCGGGGTGATGGAGGTCCGATCATAAGGATCTCCAAATACCTCAAAGAGGCACGAGACCTGGGGTGCAAACCCTTCAATGGAGCAGGTGACATCTCGGTCGCCGCGGAATGGATCAAGAGGTTGAACGAAGCAGCCCTTGATATGCAACTCACCCCCGAATTCAAGCTAAGGGTGGCGGTAAGATTGCTTGAAGGGATGGCATCCACATGGTGGGACGGAGCCAAGGGGAAGTATGGCAATGTTGTGACTTGGGAGAATTTCCGGCAGGAGTTCTTTGCCCAGTACTATTCTGATTTTGAGGTGAACGCTAAGAGAAGAGAGTATACCCTCCTGACCCAAGGTGGCAAAATGACGGTGAGGCAACTTGAACACAAATTCAGGGAGCTCGCGGAGTTCATACCGGAGTATATCTGTGACGAGAACCGGATGGTGAACCACTTCTGGGATGCTCTGGACTTGGAAATACGTGATAGAGCAACACAATTGCCTAACATGACGTTTGCCCAAGTAGTCGACCAAGGGTTGAAAGGGGAAAAACAGTGGGAGGAGAGAAAGAAGAGAGACGCCGAGGAGGCGAAGAAGAGAAAGTGGGAGAGTCACGGCTCCCAAGGTTCCAACAAAAAGGGGAACCATGGAGGGGGATCTTTCCGTGCACCGCCGCCACCATCTAGGGGGAACCAGGGCTCGAGCAGGCATGACTCGGGGTCACAAGCCTCGGGGACGCCTCGTTGCTTGAATTGCAAGAAGAGTCACCTCGAGAAATGCCGTGAACCTCCTAGATGCTTCCAATGCGGGGACACCGGGCATTTGAAAGCGCATTGCCCACAATTGGGTGGGGCAAGGACATCGGGACCGAGTAGTGGTCCGACGGGTACACGGAATCAAACCGGGGCTTCTCAAGCGAGCCGGGGGCATGGGGGAGCGAGTACGAGCAACGCACCATCCGTGAATCAAGGAAGGACTCAAGCTAGAGTCTATGCGATGACGGAGGCGGATGCTCGAGCGAACCCGGATTCCGTTGCAGGTATTAGCTCTTGAAAACGTGGTATTTTAGCCTTATTTTAAGTGTATATGGTTTACGAGTAAGGCCCGGCCACCGTAGGGGCGAACCGGGCATTTCGACTCACAAAAAACGAAGTGTAGTCAAATTACCCGCCCCAACCGGCGCCGGTCCGAGGCTAACCGGCGCCAGACATGCCTTTGAGGGAAGCCTGTTTCGGACCGGCCCTCCCCCAACCGGTGCACATCTGGGGCAATTTTTCATCCAACCGGCGCCGGCCACCCCCTAACCGGCGCCGGACCTGCCCTGGGACGAGCCTGTGTCCGACCGGCCCTCCAAACCGGCGCTGCAGGCCAGCGAAACCCAGCCAACCGGCGCCGGAAACCCACCAACCGGCGCCGGACCTTCGATGGAAGCAGCCTGTGTGGAACCGGCCCATTATGACCAGGGCAGCCGGGACGTTTAACCGGGACAACCGGCGCCGGTCAGGCCTGAACCGGCGCCGGTCCGAAGTCTTTTCGGCTGAAAATTTTCCGTACCCAAGCGGGACCCACCCCGGTTGAACGGTAAATGCACCCCAACCCTAAATAAAGTTTAGACATGTTAGGAATGGTGTCTTACATGGCTTATAAATGTAGGAACATTAAGGATTAATGGGAAGGATGCGCGAATCCTTATCGATACCGTGGCGCAACGTTCATTTGTGAATGAAGCGTTCGCCAAGAGGTTGGGAGTGCAATCCGCACCATTGATGCAAACCTTAGTGGTATCAACACCACTAGGGGATGACGTGGAAAGAACTTGTTACTATCCATCTTGTGGGGTGGAGGTTAATGGTCAAACCTTGACGTGTGACTTCGTACCGCTGAGCATGATTGAATTCGATGCAATCCTAGGGATGGATTGGCTAGAAAGGAACCATGCTAGGGTAGATTGCCACACGAAGGTTCTTGAACTCGAAGGCAATGATGGGGAGACCCTACGCTTCGAGGGCGATCGAGGGGGATCAAATAGCTGTATCATATCCGCCGTGAGAGCGAGAAGTATGATGAGAAAGGGATGCCACACATATCTAGCATACGTGGTTGACAAAACCAAAGAGGAAGCGAACATCGATGATGTGAGGGTGGTTTGTAAGTATCCGGATGTCTTCCCTAAAGACATACCGGGGCTCCCATTTGATAGAGAGATTGAATTTGTGATCGAGGTCGAGCCTGGTACCAAACCAATCTCCATACCGCCATACCGTATGGCACCCGCCGAACTTAACGAGTTGAAAACCCAATTGCAAGAGCTTTTGGATAACGGTTTCATTAGACCAAGCCACTCCCCGTGGGGAGCGCCAGTTCTTTTTGTGAAAAAGAAAGATGGGACACTTCGAATGTGTATTGACTATCGTCAACTGAACAAGGTCACAATCAAGAATAGGTATCCTTTGCCTAGAATTGATGACTTGTTTGACCAACTACGAGGGGCAACCGTGTTTTCAAAGATTGATTTGAGGTCGGGTTACCATCAATTGAAGATTAAGGAAGATGACATACCAAAGAGTGCTTTCCGCACAAGGTATGGGCATTTTGAATTCCTTGTTATGTCGTTTGGGTTAACAAACGCCCCGGCGGCATTCATGGACTTGATGAACCGAGTATTTCATAAATACTTGGACCGATTCGTGATTGTGTTCATAGATGACATCTTGATTTACTCAAAGAGTGAAGAAGAGCATGAAGAGCACTTGATACTTGTTCTTGAGACACTACGGGAGAAGCAACTCTACGCCAAATTTTCTAAATGTGAATTTTGGCTAAAGGAGATTGGCTTCCTCGGGCACGTGGTTTCAGGATCGGGAATTGCTGTTGATAACAAGAAGATAGAAGCCATTACCGAATGGGAGAGACCAAAGAACGTCAAGGAAATTCGTAGTTTCCTTGGACTGGCAGGCTACTACAGAAAGTTCGTGGAGAAGTTCTCTGTTTTGGCATCACCATTGACGAAGCTCACTCGTAAAGGAGCTAAGTTTGTATGGGATGACAAATGTGAGGAGGGGTTCATGGAACTAAAGAAGCGATTGACCGAGGCACCGGTATTTGCATTACCCAAACAGGGTGTGGGGTACGATGTCTATAGTGATGCGAGCATCCAAGGTCTTGGATGCGTACTGATGCAGAACGGGAGGGTAATCGCCTATGCTTCACGACAGTTGAAGAAGCATGAGGTGAATTATCCTACTCATGACCTGGAGCTGGGGGCTGTGGTGTTTGCACTGAAGATATGGAGACATTATCTCTACGGGGAGACATGTCACATATACACTGATCACAAGAGCTTGAAATACATGTTTACTCAGAAAGAGCTAAACATGAGACAGAGACGGTGGATGGAGTTGATAAAAGACTACCATCTAGTGATAGAGTATCACCCAGGCAAGACAAACGTGGTGGCAGATGCTTTGAGCCGGAAGAGCTCGTCTGGGGCATTGCTAGCTAATTTGAGGGCATTAAGAGCCCAACTGGAGGTATCCAGCGATGGTGCCTTATTGGCACGATTTGAGGTGAGATCTACTTTACTTGATGAGATCAAGAAGGGTCAAGAGACTGACGCAGAACTTATGAAGGTCCGGGAACACATGCAAGCGGGACCGGTGGAGGATTTCAGGGAAAGAGATGATGGTCTCTTGTTATTTCGTGACCGAGTGTGTGTGCCGTCAGACGATGAGCTCCGAAAGTCCATCTTAGAGGAGGCTCATTCATCGGCTTATGCCATGCACCCGGGGGGCACGAAAATGTACCATGATTTGAAAGAAAGTTACTGGTGGTCTGGAATGAAGAGGGAAATAGCCGAGTACATCAGCCGATGCCTTACTTATCAACAAGTTAAGGCAGAACATCAGCATCCAGCAGGCTTGTTACAACCACTTTCCATTCCTGAGTGGAAGTGGGAACATGTGACTATGGATTTCGTGGTAGGTTTACCCCGGACAATTCGGAACTACGATGCGGTTTGGGTTGTTGTGGATAGGCTCACAAAGAGTGCACACTTCTTGCCTATCAACACTACCTACCCACTTGAGAGGTTAGCCAAATTGTATACGGATGAGATCATGAGGCTGCATGGGGTCCCAGTGACCATTGTATCCGATAGAGACCCACGATTCACATCACGTTTTTGGCCGAAATTTCAAGAGTTTATGGGAACGAGGTTGAAGTTCAGTACTGCATTCCATCCACAGACGGATGGGCAGTCTGAGAGGGTTATACAGATCTTAGAGGATATGCTGAGGGCTGTGCGTTAGAGTTCCAAGGAAGTTGGGACAACCACTTAGCACTCGTGGAGTTTGCCTATAACAACAGTTATCAGGCAAGTATCGGCATGCCTCCATATGAAGCATTGTATGGGAGGAGGTGTCGTACACCGTTATGCTGGGACGAGGTTGGCATGGCCAAACTCGAGGGTACTGAGTTGGTTGAGATCACCAAGTCAAAGGTGAAGTTGATTCGAGAGAGACTCAAAGCGGCTCAGGATAGGCAAAAGAGTTATGCAGATAAGCGTCGAAGAACCTTAGAGTTTAAGGTTGATGACGAGGTATTCCTGAAAGTTTCTCCTTGGAAAGGAATCATTCGATTCCAAACCCGAGGAAAGCTTAACCCACGATATATAGGCCCATTCAGAATTATAGAGAGGGTTGGGGCCGTAGCATATCGTCTACAGTTGACTGCTGAGTTGGAGAAGATTCACAATGTATTTCACGTGTCCATGCTTAAGAAGTATGTGCATGATCCTTCTCATGTGTTGGAGAAGCCGCCCGTGGAGGTACGTGAAGATTTGAACTATGCCGTGCAACCGGTAAGAGTTATTGACAGAAAAGTGAAGAAACTGAGGAGTAAAGAAGTCCCAATGGTTAAAGTCCTTTGGAAGAGTGACCGGGTCGAAGAAGAGACTTGGGAAACAGAAGCTTTGATGAGGAAGCAGTATGCATTCCTATTCGAGTAGAGGGGGGGTGAACTTGTGACACCGCTCCCGAACGTCCTTGAAAATTTGATTTAAAATTCAAAGTTTATGTATTGGATTTCTGATTCCCAAACATTTTGTAAAACGATTAATGTTTTACGTAATTAATGATCGATTAGTGTACTGTTCGAACTCGTATATTAGTGTCGGGCATGCAAATACTATTTGGGTCTTATTAATAAATAAAAGAGCCCAACATTATCCAAATAGTGATACATAATCTTTCAAGACAATCCGAGTAAGGTCGCACGGCCCAAACGTTATTTTGAGCCCAACCTGCTAAAATAGCAAGTATTCGAGAATGGCGTTCTAGACCCACTCGGGAGTGACCCACACGGCTAGTAGCCCAATAATATGTATGACAAATGTCAAATAAGTGATAGAATGATTCAAGAAGAATACAAATGCCTATAACCCCATCTTTGACATTATTGAGCTAAATAATGGGAGTAGGGTGTTTCTTCTATAATATTCATCATGTAAATTATTGGGATGATCATACACATATTGGAGATCAATAATATGATGTAGAGGGTTGACTTGTTCCAAATAAATTAGAATGAGTACAAAGAGACATCTTATGACATAGAGATCAAAAGTGAGACCCATCCATGTCTAAAAACATCTCATGGAGACCATACCAATTCATTTCACTCCACACAACTTATCCACCCTTATTGAAGGGTCTTGGACACTCCCTTAAGCCCCTCATTCGAACTCCCAAGGATAAGGGAGAAGGAGAGAGCCACACAACCAATAAAGCAAGAGAAAGGGGAAGCTGCCGCAGGTTCGTTCTCCAGTGCGTAAGGTTACTTGTTTGCTTCATATCTCGAGTTATACACATCCAAATAAGGCGTGCGAGATACCCACAGAAAGCTCTCAAGACGAGGAATCCGTGAAGATCTGGTTTGCATCAATCGGAGTAGTGGAAGGCTTCCAAATCGTCCGATCAAAACACAACCTCGCGGAATACGTTTTTGTATTCAAAGTAAGTTTGAATCCAAAACATTCCTCTCTATTGTCTAAATCATATAAATGATTGAAGAATTATTATACACTGAGTGAAGTGTATCAAATGTTATTATAAAGTGACTTTAATTGTTAGAAAGGTTAGATACTAACCTACACAAAACCTTGAAAGGTTAGGGAACGGATTCATCGGGAAACACCCGTTCTAGGGACTGTTTTTGTGTCTTCGGTTAGGAGTTGAAATAGCACTTTGAGGGGGCTGTTTAACACTCAATTCCAAGCAAGGAATCAGTTCTCAAACTTCCTTGGACGGGACTTTGGTCATTGGATCAAGAAGGAAAAGTTTAAAGCTCAATTAAGGTGAGGACCGACATCTAGTTGCTTACAACTTGTAGGTTATGCATGAGATTACCTAAATGCTTGAATCATGTTTTTGTGAATAAATATGCTTGAACATGATATGAATAATAAGTAATGGACTTGATCGTGAATTGAAACCATATTGACGAATATGGAGTCATGTGAGATAAAAGTATGCTAATATGGTAAATTGACCTTCCAACTCATGTATGAATGTTATGTGTATGTAAATATATAATTGCATGATGATGCTTAGCACATGGGAGGCTGCCACATATCTATTGATATGGAGGGGCTACCATTAATGATAAATGAGTTGTAGGAATAATCTTAATAGTATTGTGATGCTAGTTAAGGATTGTTCAAAATGTTGATAGAATCAAACTTAAGGTTTGAGTTGTTTGTGATGAACTTGGATAAGATTCAAGTGTCAAGTGTGATTTCATGGAGTAGGAGATCTATGGTGTGATTGTATGAAGTAGGAGATCTATGGCGTGATTGTATGAAGTAGGAGATCTATGGGGTGAGTACATGAAGTAGGAGATCTATGATATGATTACATGAAGTAGGAGATCTATGATGCGAGTGCATGATGATGTACTCGAGCCGAACTCTAGAAATGAGAAGTTATATTAGGGTTGGACCCTATGTATGTCGTGACCATTAGTCACGGGGTCTTGGGAAATGTTTTGTAATAAACATGGGCCTTTGAGCCGACTACTTGACTTTATATAAAGTAAGTATGTATTTTGAAAGAGGTAATCTGGGATTACGACCTATACTATATTATCACCCTATTTGAGGGTCTTGTGTGTGAAATACTTGTTGTATATCTATTAGATGCCCCCCACACCAGCACTTTATAGCCCTATAGAGTGCTGACCCCTTCGGGGGCATCCCACCACCATTTTTCAGGTTGAGGCTAGAGCTTGCTTCCTGTGCTCGTTGCTCGAGAGATCATATAGGAGGGAAGACTTGGTTCGTGCTTCCTCCGTTCTGTTTTAAACATTAATAAACATGCTCATGAATATTTTACTATAGAGCCTGCGTGCTCATGTTTGCCACGTGTGGCATTTGTTTTCAAACTATGTTTTCCGCTACGTATTCGATTGCTTATTATGTTGTTTATGGATGGCTTACGTGTGAATGATATTCGAGACGCCTTGTATAATATGAATGTGTTGGACTGCGGTTGACTATTTGTATTGTACGGCGGGTTGTTGACGTGTCCGGGGAGGTCCGGGGCGTGACATTTTTGATTTTTTTACTTGGTGTCATATCTATACGGAATATGTATTTTCCATTTAAGCCTGATGTATTATTATTTTTAGTTAAAACCAATATATTTTGGTGTAATAATATTTTTATTTTTCTTATGTTGTATTATCTTTTATTTAATTATGAAGGAGTATAATTTTTCTATTTATGAGGTAAATTCCTAAATTTGTAGATGTTCAATACTGCGTGATGTTATATTATTTCTCCCTTCAAAAGGATGTTAAAAAAGGAAAAATTCACAAAAATAATTCCAACTATTCGTGATCTTCTTATATTAATCCCAAGTACGCATAATTCAAAAATAATCTCAAATATACTAGCACCCTTCCCAAATTAGTCCACGTTACCTGTGACTTGCTAAACCAGTATAAATTATTAAAAGAAAAGAAATTTGAATGGCATATTTCTTCATCTTCACCGGAAGTCCAGAACCATTAGTCCATTACTGCTTCCTTCAATTCGTCTCTAACAGCCTGAATCTCACTTTCGTTTTCTTTTCTTTTTTAATTTTCTTTTCTCTTCCCCTGCACCACAATAGTAAATCTCCCTCTCACGTTCCTTTCGTTCTTCAATTTGCACCTCAAATTGTACTTCTTTCAATTTCATATTTGCAAAGTTTAATTTATGAAATCCAACTCAAATGTGACTTTATTCATCGATGTCTACGAATACGAATGGTGGAGGCCGGAGCAGCTGCTGGGTTG